TGAAATTGCAGATTGGCTGCATCATTGCTTAGTACCGCCGACTGTTTATCTCGAAAACAAAGGAGATGGGCAGAAGACATGGCCTGGCACCCATCCGGAAACACCCTTTTCTCTGTATACACTGCAGACGATGGAGATTCTCAGATATCAATCCTAAATCTGAACAAGACACGCGGGGTAAATATTACTGCGCCACATTTATTATTAGAAACTTCGTGAAGTTTCTGATATCAAAGGCAAAGACAACACCATAAAAGAAACTAGTATTTTGCTTTCTGAAAAGTTGCTTAAACAAGGTACTTTTCTTTTGTGTTGGTAAAGGTTAGTTTCCTGGAGAACAAACCTCACGTAAAAGGAATTATCAACAACATAAAGTTCATGCCTTGGGAACAGACATGCTTTGTCACTGGTGGAAGTGATCACGCTGTTGTTCTATGGAACGAGAGTGATGATGACGAAAACAAATGGAAGTCGAAAACTTTACACAGGAATCTACATTCAGCTGCTGTAATGGGAGTGGATGGGATGAGGAACAAGAACATTGTTTTATCAGTTGGAGCGGACAAGCGAATATGCGGGTTTGATGTTCAAGTTGGTAGAGCAGACTACAAGCATCAAATAGACTATAAATGCATGAGCGTTCTTTCCAATCCTTGTGACTTCAATCTATTTATGGTTCAATCCGGGTAAGAAGAACTTACCAAACATGGTTTCCATTTTTTTTACTTGCAAATTCTTTGAAAAGAATCTTTGACATCAGGGAACCCGAGAAACAGCTTCGGCTGTTTGATATCAGATTAAGGAAAACCGGACTCCATTCGTTTGGGTGGAAGCAAGACAGCAGTGAATCACAATCAGCTTTAATAAACCAATGTTGGTCTCCTGATGGTTTATACATCACCTCTGGTTCAGTAGATCCAGTCATCCATGTTTTCGACATCAGGTAACTCTTTCACTAATTCATGGGATGGTCAACATCAATGGCTTTCTGTTGATTGTTTTGCTTGTGGTAGGTACAATGCTTGTAAGCCGACCCAATCGATAAAAGCTCATCAGAAACGGGTGTTTAAAGCGGAATGGCATTACTCTCAGCCACTTCTCATCTCCATATCTTCTGATCTCAACATTGGTTTGCACAAGATCTCATGAAACTTTGAGTTCTTCTCACAATGTTGTCATTCTTTAATAGCTGAGGATACAGGTTCAGGAATTCTATATAGCAACTTTCATAATTATCAGTCACCAGTTCTTAGTTTTAGGCATAAACATCATTATTTATTACATAGTATTGATTAAGCTAAAGGTTGTCTTATCTTTCAATTTTGGCTTAATGTTTACCTCCGACTTTCAGTTTTCATTTGAGGATATTAAAATTCTTTCTGAAGAAGCAGAAAGAGAATCAGACATTTCCGAGTAACTTACGAGAAAATAAGGAAGCGTAGGAATGAAAAAAGAACAACTAAAATAATACGTTTACTTAAAACTTCTTAGTTAACCATCAGAAATGTAATTATACAAGAACTAGTGCACCATCATCGTCAACACTCTTCACTCTCGATGATGAATAGAAGTCAGAGTTAATGATCTATAGCTGAGAAATTATGTATGCAGAAGTCAAAATGTAATTATGAATTGGTTTACTAGAGGAAATATTCATTTGTTATAAACCAATAAAACTTATATCAAATCGGTTGGGTCGGCTACACTTCGCAACCCAATCCAGATTTTTGGGTTTGTTCTCCGTTTAATTAACCCGTAACTAACCCGTTTGCTTTTATTGTCCGACTAATTTATGTTTTTTTTTTGTCAAAACCGACTAATTTATGTTGTTTTTCGTTTTTTGTAAGAACTATTTTGAGTCATTTCACCCACAAAGATTGTATAGTTTATTTATTTCAATATTTTATCTATTAGCTGACAATATTGTTAATAAAATGTGTTGTGTTTTAATTTAAATTATTATAATCTAAACCCAAC